TTCCTTACACTTACACATCCCTCATTTCAACCACTTGCAAACTGCATTCATTTTTTCGCCCTTAACTAACAAAAGTACTCTTCTTACCCAATGTAGCCCTATTTTTATCACTCTATACCAGCACTTCAGAATACCATATATTCACATCCAGCACTCACATAGGTTTATGGTAGCACTTGCCAAAACCTTGGCTAAAAAGATCCAAATAATTTAAATAACTCTGTCAATTTTTGGTTTCACTACACTAGAGAATAAGGGAAATAAGTAGTTCTGTATGTTTTACTGGAAAAATATTAGTCTCAAATCTCCACGTTTCTCTTTCAACAGGAAAAAAAAAGTCAAAACACATTATAGAGTTATGCCAGCATACAAGACTGTATGTACTTGAAGAACTTCTCCCTTAGATTAATTTTAAAAGTTTAAAATTAGAGTCTCTTCAGAGAAAGAAGCATTAATCTTCTGCTACTAAATAAGATGTATCCCCTTAAATGCTATCTCACTGCCATAATTAGATAATTTCTTTCAGCTAGCAGAAGGAGTAAAGGAAATTAATGGATCAAAAAGAACTTAGAGTACCTTTTGTTTATGTGGAATAAAATAATCCATCACGTATAACAGATTAATTTTCTGTAATAACAAATACCACCCACATATATGCAAAACTCAGAAGGATGTCAAGAAGAAGGAAAAAGAAGTTCTAGATAGAAAAAACTTCCTTAACCAATCTCTTCTCTAAAGTTATTTACTACTATCTGTAAGACTAATTTGGCATCTGGTATCAGATGTTAAAAAGTACCATGACAGTTACAAATAATACATCTTTCCAATACATAACACAAAAAACCACCCCTAAGAAGAAATCAAGAGCAAAAAAACTTATGCAATTTCATCTTGCATTTAATGTGTCCTACTATTCTTAAGTACATTTAATATACCTTCTGAAACAGCATCAACAACCGGCATTCAGTAACTGATGAGCAAGTGAAAGGAAAAACTGAAACAGATTATATTAAAACAACAACTATTTAGTTGACACATCACAAGCATCTCATCTGCTATGGAACAGCTGTGCAAATGAAAGCTTTTGCAAACACTACTCAGAAACTTTGTTCACTCTGAGAGCACCTGCAGATAAAATATTTTTATAAAGGAACACAACAAAATACCACCAAAAACAACGATTTCTGAATCTTTCTGGAAACAGCTTACAGAAGAGGAGATGCTCTTAGCAATGCTGAAAGCCATTTCTTAGCCATTAATTAGAATTCTCATTTGGGATTTGAAAGAAGAATTCTGTCAACCTCTTTCAAAAATTTAGGCCCTCCAATCCTAGCTGCCAAAAGAACAGGCTAGAACAGACACGTATTTTGGAGACTGAAGTCTCTTGAGCTAGGGAAGAGATATGAATGCAGAGGAGGAAAAGCATTGGTATGGTACAGTTTCTGCACAAGAAACTAACATGAAAATGAAGACCTACACTAGTATCTTTGTCAGAGACCCATTACCCACATTACATATCCATGTAATAAACTATAAAAAAAAAAGTCCTGATCTGTACAACCTGTCTATAGAGCGTCCTTCCCCCAGAGGGGTTTTATTCTACTATCACAAGAGATGAGGCTTGCAGAAAGCTTTGCACAGATACAATTAACTCAAGAAAAAAAAAATAAGTTTGTGCCTGTGGTGTGTATCAAAACCTTAAGATCTTCTCCTTTTCAAACACAAACCTACATTGTTTCTTTTCTTTAGAATGTTATTTGAAACACTAGCTATAAGTTTGAACTCTCAACAAAAATCATTATTTAGTTATGCAAGTACCTCACTTCTACGCCTTCCTCAAAAAGCAGTTTCCTTGCACCACAAGGTTCTTGTGGTTCAAAGCATCACTGAACGCTTATAGCAACTTACTTCCTACAACACAGAAAATATTTATAATGAGTTTTGCATTATAAATTCAAGGTGATCTAGACTAATAAAATAGACTGTAAATACAAGTTAGTTTATTGCTATTATAAATTTCTACATGAAGAACAGACATATTTATGGCACTAGATCTTTCTTTCACATGGAGCTTTAAAAAAGGTGAAGATGAAAACCAGGCAACCAAAATTAAGATGAAAGTATGCCAATAAAGAGGAATTGAGATATCTGGTAAACTTAGTATAAGCTCATCTGAAGAGTGTCATCAGTTACTTAAGCAGTTCAAGAACTAATATTTATTGAATTCCAGAAGCAGTTTTCACAGTAAAAATACAGTCTGTCAACAAGCTAGAAGGAGAAAACATTCATTTGGACAACTACGTATGATCTACAGCTAAAGCAAATCTGGTTAATTTTTTTAGGTCTACTAAAACTCTTTCTAATGCAGAGGCAAGTCATACATTTCTGAACACTACACCAGACAGTCTTAAATTTCAAAGGATGGCTACAAGGAAGGAAACTTGACTTGCTTTTACAAGCTACTCTTAGGAGTTATTCTGACTGAAACAGGTAAGCGTTTTGGCTTCAAGCATCATCAAGTTACATTGGTATTTCCACTCCTTATAAAGAATGAGTATTTTAACTTGCTATAACAATATATCAGATATATTAAGTTTCTTATACCAGTACAGCTATTTCTGTCCTATTTCAAAGAATATACTTGTAATAAGTGAGTAGATTTATTTCTTTGAGTATATCCTCTGACTTATCAAAGCAACTAAAGGCAGATAATTTTCATGGGAAAAAACACCACTGAAAGGTTGCCTTCATTAAAGCCTCTTTTCATTTCACTTCAATGACAGTGCAGACTTTCCATGCACATCTTAAAGGTTGGTATTCCATTACCTTTGCCAAGCGGCTCATTTGATCTTCAGAGACTGTGCTGCTGGTTCTCCCAGGAGTTCTGGTGGGTTCCGAGCCATCAGCTTCTACATTGGGCCAGACTTTCAAATCATGCATTCCTTGACGGAACATACTACAGGAAAAAATGCAGTATTGTTTCAGCAAATTGAAATCAGGAATCAAACTACAGCAGTAGCTGCAAAAAAAATGAAATAGTTTCTTCTGCCAAATCTAAAAACACACATTACTATGCACAACATAACTGAACTGTAGAAGTGCCTAGAGCCCTGTGCCCTCTCTAGCCTTCATTTTTACTGGCACTTGGGGTTTAAAAGAAACAAATATGAGATAACTTACTTGGCAAATGGAAGAAAAATGGATAATTCCCAAAGTCAATGGAGTGGTACAAACATGAACTGAGGAGAGAGCTTGACCTTCATACTTTTTTATTATTTGTAATGAAGCAGAAAAAATTCCTCTTGACTTGCAAATTACAGTATTGACTTTAGATCTTCCTGACAAAAAAATTAACTAAAAAACGGTGTAAGTTTCATGTGAAGGTCAACTGATAAAAAGCAGCTTTCTCAGCTGGAAAAAAACACAATTCTCACCATACCATTTTCTCCATCTATGCCCGAAATTGAATTGGTAGTTGAAACTGTGCAGTGAGCTGAACTCTGAAACAAAACTTAAACCTCTCTTCTGCAGCCCCTTGTGTCCCTTGTAGATGGATGAATGAAAATATGCAGAGATGCTCCAGGAAATCAAATGCATTATTTCTGCCAATAAGAGGGCACCAACCAACTAAGAACTTCAGGCAAATACAAATAGAAGGAACACTCAGAAGTGACACAACTAAAAATAAAAGACACTGACTACAGAAAAGCCAGCTAATCTTAAAATCATAGATTGCTTTGTAGAAAGTTTACTACTACTCTGCTACTAGGTGATCAGTTTACAAGCCAATAGAAAATTCTGAAATATTTATTTCTGTCTGAACCCCTCCCCAAAACACTGGAAATAAAGGCAAGTTTTGTCCAATACAATTTTCTACTCTAAGATAACATCAATCTTTTCGACAAAGCAAGATCTGTAATGAGAGAAAATTAACCTCTCTCTACAGATGTTTTCCACATTCAGTATCTAGGTACTGAAGTACTAGGACAAATTTCCTAATGCTAAACTAAACCTGGCCTGGTTCAGCTTAGCTTTATTACTACACATTCACTGGCAAAGCGATTTTCAGCATTTTCAAACACTGTCTACAACTAGAAAAGTATTCTCATGGTCTTTTCTTCGGTCCCATTTTACTTACTTCTACTCCACCGCACCCATTTGCTAGATATTCAGTACCTACTCCCTTAGACTCTCAATTGTGAGAAACTTATCTAAAATTAGTTGTATAGAACGGGACACACTGCAAAAGAGCAGAAAAGTAGTTCTGAAACACATCTCAAAAGAGCAGCAGGATACAATATTGTCCTTGATGTGTATACTTGGAGACTGTTTACATATCCATGTTTTGTTTTGTTTTTTTAATATTTCAACTCTTGCAAAACTCTAAAATCTAAGTAATTTCCTCAGCTTTCCTGTGTAGATGCTCTCTGTTCTGGATTTGACTACAATCAATCAGACAGACTATCAGCATCTCATACTTAAATTGTATCCTGTGTTGTTTTTTTCAGACTTCTATGTATTTGATTAAGATCCATTTCATGCACTGCCACTTTTCAGTTAACCTGTAATTCTTCCCAGCTCCCTGTTATCTACTGTAATTTACTGATCTCACTCTCTACTCGATCACATAATTATTAATCTTGAAGATTCCTTGTTTCTTGAACTACACTTTGTTCCTTATGGATAATGCTCTGTTAAGGGTCCAACTCCAAGTTAACTTAGAGAAATAAAGTAATTGATAGTGGAATTCATGCATTACAAAAATATAAAAGAAAGTTATTCCAGCACTTGCTAAGTCAAAATGTAAGCTTACTTGTAAAAAAAAATAATAATAAAAAAAAAATCTGTGTTTTGACTTTCTCTGTGCACTTCCTATTGCACCTAGTGAGTGCACTTCCTATTCACAAGTGAGCTACAAGTTTGTATCATGAAAGAAAAAGCACTATACCCATATTTCCCAAAGAGCGAGACTGTTGTTCCTCCCACAGGAACAGCTTTACCAGGTCCATACACATCCCAGATGGTTAGAGCCACCTGAGCATTGCGAGGCAGGTCTGGATATTTCACAGGCAGTTTCAGCCACTCATTCCAGCTGCAAGGACATACTTCATATTAGTCATGAAACCTCTGAATTCAAGTCACCCGACAGTAGTTTACATAATCTAAGTTCTCCTTAAATTATGCACTTTTAAGGGCACATTAACTATCTGCCTGCGGGCTTTAATTATTCAAAAGATTTTAGTGTTGTTTTGAGTCATTCCATGCATGTACGATTAAAAGGCCAGCAAACGAAAAAATCTTTGTGCATTACACAGCAAAAAAGTATGCTATTTCAGGCTGCAAAACTTACGTAATTATTGAGCCATGCCCAAAACCACAAATAATTGTATTATTACTTACTCTTTACACAGAAAATTAATTATCGCAAAATTGATCTATCGCAGAGACTCACAGAAACATAAGATACTTGAAGAAAACAACAGAAAAGATTTAGGTTTTTTTTTTTTTTTTTTTTTTTTTTTAAATGCAAACAAAAGACACATAAAATTATGTCTTTAACTAGAAGCTTCAATAACTAACAGATAAATGGAATAAAAGGCAGTGACTTACTTCCATCTAGTGCTAAAAGCTTTGTAGGAAGTTCTAACCGGAAGAGCAAGAGGCTTCCCTTCTGCAAACACCTGACAAGTTACATACAAGTCAGAGCAAGTCTCTTGATACAGTCCTGAGAACTTCAGCATTGGGTCTTCCAAGAGAGCTTTGTAACTCTTCTGTTCTCTTTTCCCTTCCAGACTTCCTCTAAAAAACAAAACAAAACAAAACAAATAAACAAACACAAAAAAGCAAAAGATGTTTGTTTGTTTTTAATTCACACTGAAAATTCAATTTCCATTACTCTTATTTAAACAACATGGTTACCTTTCTTTCGAATAACTAGTAAGCAGTGAACTCCAAATATCCAAAAGAAACTCTGCATTTGAAAAAAAATACACAACTCACTGCAATACTGATTCAGCGGCAAAAAAGAAGCAGAAAATGGAAAAATTACTCACTTGAGATAGAGATACCTTCTAATAAAACCTGTACATTCTTAGACTACATCATATAAGGTACGTTAAACAAGGCAACAGTGAGATGATAAACACTGCAATTATTAAAAGAAATAACTATAAACATTAAAACATTATTATACACTTGCATGAAAAAGGAAAATAAAGAAAGGACGAGGAGTCTTATTTTAAAACTGCGTAAAATGTGTAGTGAAGTGTATGATTGGCTTTGGATGCCAAAAATCAAAATATTCAAACCAGACTTGACTAAACATTAGTAATAATGTGTAGAATTGTAGTGCTAGATTTAACAGGCCTCAAATATACAGTGATGAAAGACAAACCTTCACATATCTCAGAGATCCTTTTCCAATCTTAATGATTCTGTGATACTGCATTATGAAATATCTAACTGTGGATGTAGACAAAAACAAAAAAGGAACCGCACTGTTTGTGCAGACAGGAGTGATGCACCTTTCAACAAACAAGAATCTTTCAGAAACAGAAGCAGCTTCTTGCAAAAAATAAGCACAGTACATTCTAAGAGACTGCAAACTTAAAAAAAAAAAAAAAAAAAAAAAGAAACCTTAAAAACTTTTGTTTTTTAAAGTTAATTTTTTTGTTAGGCAGTATCACAGAATCACAGAATGTTCAGGGTTGGAAGGGACCTCAAGGATCATGAATCTCCAACCCCCTGCCACATGCAGGGCCACCAACCTTCCCACCTAATGCTAGACCAGACTGCCCAGGGCCCCATCCAATCTGGCCTTGAACACCTCCAGGGACGGGGCATCCACAACCTCTCTGGGCAGCCTGTTCCAGTACCTCACCACTCTCTCTGTAAAGAATTTCCCCCTGATGTCCAAAGTATCAGTTAGTAATGAAGTCAGGTATGTAGCTGAATTCAGTTGCTATTCGCTATTCAAATGAAACTTAAATAAGCCCCCCAGGTTTCCCTGAGTTACTTTTCAAAAGAAGTGCAGCATACCTCAGTGTAGCTACATTAGCTATAAATTATAGGACAAGTCACATCTGTGCCACATGAATTTATACTGCCCACTGCTGTGATGTGAAGGGAAAAAAGAAAAAGCTTTAAAAAACATGAACCAGCAAACGCATCAGCGCGTGCAAATGTGAGGCTGAACAAAGTGCCTGGCCTTCCCCAAAACACATTTACGTGCCTCAGCACGTATGTGCTTCCCACATAGTGGGAAGAAGTGCCTTCAGCTTCTCTCCATCCCTTAACGCTAAGGAGAGAGCGGTGCCACCAGCGGCTGAAAGGTCACCAGGGACGTTAGGGCTGAACTGAATTAACCCGTGCCTTACAGCACTGCAGGACATAAGGCCACGGATATGTCAGCGCCCACGGCAGCCTGCAGCAGGCCCCGGCCCGGCTACGTCGCGGTGCTGCTCCGGGACCCCGCGGAGCTCCAGGCGCGGCGTCACAGTGACGCCCACCTCACACAGCGGGCGGCCCAGCCACCTCCGAGCCGGCGGGGACCGGGCTCCTTCCCGCACACCGCCGCGGCCGCCCCGCGCACCCCCGGCCGTCCCGAGCGGAGCAGGGCAGCGCTGAAGCCCCCACCCCTCTCACTCACATCTTCAGTTGCACGTTCATATCCAGGTCGCAGCTATACACATAATACAGCTTCTCAGTCTCGCCCATGATGACCGCGAGCCCCGGTACACCCAGAGGCACCTGCACCCCCTACCGCAACAACCCGCGGGGTAGATCACGGGCCCGCAGCTTGGGCCCCCTGCTTTCGCGCATGCGCCGGCGCCGCCATTTTGCTTAAGGGAGGAAAGAGGAGGTATACATCTACCCTACCCTATACCAAAATGGCCGCCAACCTGAGGTGACCTGGAGGAGGTCCCAAGATGGCTGCCCCCATGTGTACGGCACGCAAGATGGCCGCTTCCATAGGAGGCATGGCAAGATGGCTGCTACCAGGCAGCATCTGGCTGCGAGATGGCTGTCCCTGTCCCAGTTCTGAAGCAACGTGACTGAGGGCATGCGGTGCAGTTTTCCAGCAGGAGCCCCCAGCAGCATTGGATTTCCCCCTTCTTTCTCCTCAGGCTGCTATTCTCCAGACTGCAGCACAATCAGGACAGTCACAGCAAATTCCCACTGTAACTCTAAACCCTTCTGCAACCCCGGTGACGCTGCTTTCTGACAGGGAAGGGATGATTTACACAGGGCAATTTGTGTTTTGCTAGGGGCTGCCACATTGTTTAGTTGTACTGTCATTCATTCTTGTTTCAGCTCACTGACACCTTTGAAGAAGGCCAAGAAAAGCTAGCAGTTGTCTTCTGCCCTAAAACATCAAAACGGTACAGGGCAGCATGCAAACATGCTGATGACTGAATTCCTTGCAATGATCTTAGCATTAATTGGCACTTAATTTAACAGTATTCTTCACTCATTCGTTATATATTTTCTAAAGTTGTTAAAATCAGTAGTTGATCTGTAATCATCACCTACCACCAAAACAAAAGAAAAAATAATGCCGAATGATTCTGTCTGGGCCTTAGAGACAAGAAAAAAAAAATCTTATACAATTTCTATTCTTTAAACAATCATATGACTTTAAACAATATTTAGTATTTTGAGGGCTAGTGAAGGCTGCAGGCGCTTTAAGTGACAAAAATGTACACAGCATTACTGTCATATGCCAATTCTGTCTGACTTGACAAGGCAGAGGAGGTTAGTGTTTTATGATCTGCCACAGGAGCTGAACAGTGCTGTGTATAAAGTGCTGTTTTGATGTAGCTCACTGTTATGAGTGACGTATGGAAGCACTGGTACTGAGAAGGCATCAGGACATATGAACTCTCCAAGTATGTGCTGCTTGTACAACAAAAACAGGATGTTTGATGCTTAGAACTGTTCTCCATTTTCATATCAAGAATCATTAACTTGAAGCTATGGGAGGATATGTTATCAACCAGTCCTCCTCTTGTTACTATGGGGATGGAAGAGGCCAAAGAAGGGAAGAATGACTCTTAAAAAAAAAAAAAAAATAATAATAATAATAATAATAATAATAAAAAGTATAAAGGACCATTGGACCATTTCACCTTAACACTATTTGTTTTTTACTCAGGTGCTGTGAGCAGGAGGTCTTTTTAAATTCTTCTCTGGAACAATTTAGAGAAGGTTATAACCCAGAATCATGCATCACTAAAAGTGCAGCCCTTGCTTTACAGCGTTGCCAAATTGACTATGGATGCTGTGGGTGAAAAACATCATTTGAACTCAAATTAACAAATTCTTTTGTACAGATTATGTTAAAATAACTTTATTATTATTATTATTATTAATGTTAAAATGTTTAAATATATTTTATTACTATTATTATTATCATTATCAATTCTTTATCCAATTTTCTCTATCCAAATTGGTCTCTTTTTGATGACATTTGTAACTGTTAATACTCTGGCAGCTGCCAGTCATTTACTACCTACCTACCCCATCATTTATGTGTTCTGTTTGCTTGTTAGTTTAGTTCCTGAACAGTTATTTACATAAACATTCAGCTTGCCAGAAGAAAAATAAATAAACTTACTGCGCTGCTTGGTTATGCAGGAATAGTATACCTAAACCTACAAAAAAAAAAAAAAAAAAAAAAAAAAAAAAAAAAAAAAAACCTGTAAAAATTTAAAAGACACATGAATCTCATAATTTTAAAGCTAAACAATTAGTCAGTTCTGTTTGTATGCAAACTAAAAGTATCCAGACACTCATATGTGCATACCATATGATTTTATCTCAGGAAAAATTGGATCCATTTTCAATTAACCTCATTAATATTATCAGTTATGTAATCTCACCATCAATTTCACCTCTATAGAGAAATTTTTAGGTCACTGTTCAACTATGTTGAATATGTGCCCCATTGAAGTGTTGTAGGATTTTATTCTAAATGTTAAATATCAAAAATAGCACATCTATTCTTGTGTTACCCACTTGATGTGCACCCGTATACAAACTATCCTGTAAATTCTTCTGGGGTTTCCTCTTCAAGGGTGCAAACAAGTATACTCCATGTTGAGAAACTGTATACATGTCATAGCGGGACCAAGTTCCGCAAGTGAACTGGGATGCAGTTAATATCGTAACTGTGCTGTGAAGCAAACTCTGACTTTCATGCCAACAGGGGAAGGGTACCCACCACTTCTGAACTTGTGTTAGGGCCTGTGTGGCTAATGATTCTTAATGACAACTGATTTCCTCAGCCTATGGCCCAGTACTTTGTTTTGAAGGGGTCCCTGATGCAGCAATACCATAGGGCAGCCTGCAGGATGCCTCAGATGTCAGATGTCTCAGACTTATTCCATCACCATAGAGGGTGCCCACAGCTGTTCTGGCTGCCCCAACCTGTCCTGCCTAATGGCTGGGTGATTGGACAGGCCCTGGCTTTCTACAACACTGCGTAAACATATATTCCTCTAGCAGACTGAGGTTTATTCAAGTGCTTTATCTTGAAACACTAGTTTAACTCTATGTGTGGGAGCATTTACAAAATTACACAGTGAAATCTGTTCTGTTTTTCACAAAAACAGTAAAAGAAACTGGCTACCTAGATTTAGTTACTTACAGATGCTGCACCTTTCTTTCTGTTGAAAGAACTGTAGCAAACTATGTAAAATGACGAGAGTGGCATTCTCCATTGTTTTGCTCATGCATTAAAATGGTCCTCAGCTCTTTTCTCTTTCTTAGTCTGATTGTCAAGTCCCTGAGGTGAAGCATCTAGAAAATATGGGGAACAGTACAGAGCACTGCTGCTGACATGATTCTCTTTGGAGGGGATGGTTCTATTTTCTTGTTTTGAAGCAAAAGTGTCACTTGCAGTCCATATTCTATCAATAGCCATAGATAAATATGTCATTTCTCAGTCTAGTAAGAAATGCATTCCATCTGTGAGAGAAAATCATGCTTCTGTATATACCATCCATCTTGTTCTACTGGGATTACAATGATAAGCACGGCAAGTGATCAGTTCAGATTTTCAGCCAGGTCTCCCATTCTTGGCAAAGGCTTTCATCAAAGTTCCAAAATTTATCTATGTTTTCAGTCTTACTTTGTTTTGTCCTTTCTGAATGTGGACATCTGTCCACTATAAACCAAACTGAGACAACTAAAAGCTGTACATAAAACTTTATACATCTGTCAGATAGTAATGACTTTCAGTCACTAATGAACTGGAACAAAACTGAATAGTCAACAGCCTTTTTCCCTCTAGTAATATCCTGAGAAAGACTTTATATACTGAATATATGTGTGAGAGAGTTTTTGCTGTTCAGATATCACTATGATGGACAGGTCTTCAAATCTTCAGTGGGGTAGTGGCTATCAGTTAACAGTTATCAGATATCCTTTAAAAACTGGTAAGAGTTTAAGAAAAGAGCATATCTTTCTTTTCCTTAAACATATGCTTTACATTTATTTATAGACACATTAAAATGTCAGTGATTCATATACTGTAGGTATTGAATAATTGTGAGCATCCGTGCAGAAACAGTCATGTGTTTTATATATATATATGTATATATATGTATATATATACACATACATAAAATTCTGAATTAAATTCAAACTTAGAAGTGTCATTTTGGACCAAAAACTTACCGTTCTCATAATTCTAGACTTGGAATGAAACTATGCCTGTAATGTACTCAGGGAACATTTGACCTAGAACATGTAGAGCTGAGAGCAGCTATCCAAATTATAACAGACAGTGGTGTCTGGCCAGTAGCTTATATGTACCTCTGTAGAGAGCTGAGGCTCTTATAAATGTGGTTCTATGGATTGTCATCTACATAGCATAGTGCCACACATAAAGCTCTTTGAAAACTTAGAGCACCAATAAATTACGTTTATGAAATGATATTCTACTAAAAAGCCTTCTCTTTCCAGATGATTATACATTATTCCATAATTTAAGGCTATTAGTTTTAGGCCAGAGTTCTTTGAGAAAGAAGTCGTCTACCCTTCTGCACTTTTGCCGTGCTTCACTGTTGCAGACCTAAGCCTCCAATCACAAAAAATTGTGCTGGCCCTGTTCAATGACATTGCCACTGAACAACTGTTCCAAATCTTGTTTTCCCAGCTTTCTGCCCAAAAACAGCAGCATCATTCCTTGTGCTTAGAGAAACATGGGACTTGCAAGCATCTCTTCACAAGTTCAGTCCTGTCATTTTTTTACTGCCAACCTCAACTGTTCAAATCTGTCACTTCAAGTCCCATTTTACAAGCAAAAAGTGGGTTTTTTTGTCTCCACTAAGCTCGTGAGAATGTTTTCCCATAACTCTCCTAGTTTAGAAACTTCCCCCCCCCCCCC